TAACCAGGGCAGCGCCGCCGCTGACGGGAGGCCGGGCAGGACCGCCCTCGCTCGCCCGAGGAGCGCGGCGGGCCCACGGCAGCAGCCGCCGTCCCTTCAGCTGGGCAACGGGCCCCGCCACCGGCCAGAGCCGCCCGGGGCTGCTTCCTGGCTCTCCACAGCGATGTCCTGGGCTGCACAGAAAGCAGCATGGCCAGAAGGTCCAGGAGCGCCCCACCCGTGCCCCACTCGTGAGATGGCAGCTGGAGCACTGTGCCCTGCACCGGGGACACCAGCAGGACACAGACAGGAACCTATCGAGGTGAGACCTTAGGGACAGAAGTGAACATCTCTCCTGTAAAGACAGGGGAAGAGATCTGGTGTTCTTCACAGAATCACAGTCAGAATGGGTCAGGCTGGAAGGGAGCACAGGGGGTCATCTGATTTAACCTCCCTGCTCAAGCAGGGTCATCTTAAAGTACATGGCGCAGGATTGCATCCAGACAGTTCTTAAATATCCCCACATACATATCTTGGGAGAGAATCCACAACCTCTCTGGGCAATCCACAACCAATCTGGTCACCTGCACAGTTCTTCCTCAAATTCAGGTGGAACTTTTTCAACCTGGAAAAGAGAAGGCCCCAGGGACACCTTATAGTACCCTGTGAATACATAAAGCAAGCATATAAAGACAGATATTTTTTACCAAGGCCTTTAGTGTCAGGACAAGAGACATTAAACTAAGAAGGGGTTCATTTGGATTGGACAGAGGGAGCATATTTTTTACAATGTGTGTGGTGAGGCACTGGAACAGGATGCCCAGAGAAGCTGTAGATGCCGTGCTGCTGGAAGTGTTCAAGGCCAGGACGGATGATGCTTTGAGCAGCCTGGTCTACTAGGACTCCCTGCCCACAGGAGGGGGGTTAGACCAAGTGATTGTTAAGTGCACTTTCCAACCCAAACCATCTGTGATTTTGTGATGCAGACAACACAACACAGACAGAACATGAAGCAACATCATCAAGAAGAAAAACAAACCTTCTACTTTTCCCAAGTTTGTGGATGATGGCAAACTGGGGAGAGCAGTCAGAAACAGGCTGAAGAGAATTTCATGGAGTCCAACAAGAGTAAGTGAAATCCCACATCTGGCACAGAGTAACTCCATGCAAGATGAAATGCTGAAGGATGGCTCCCTGGGAAGGGGCTCCCCAGAAAAGGATCCAGACATCCTGCTGGACGAGCTGAATATGAGCTACCACGGTGGCCTTGCAACAGAGGCTGCCAACTGCATGCTGGGATGTATCAGTAATAAAGAGTAGCCAGCAAGTTGTGGGAATGATCCTCCTCTATTTGGCACCTGTAAGGCCACACCTGAAGTGCTGTGTCTAGTTTTGGGACTTTTGGTACAAGAAAGGTCCTGACATACTGGAGCAATTCTAGTAGAGAGCAAGAAAGATGGTCAGGGAGCTGGAGAAAATGATGTACACAGAGAGGCTGAGAGAGCTGGGTCTCTTCAGCCTGGAGAAGAGACAGCTGAGACTACTGCTGCTTACAACTACATAATTAGAGGATGCAGGAAAGACAGAGAGACTTTTCCCAGAGACACTCAGTGATAAACTAGATCCTGGAAAAACTCAATTAGGGTTATACCGAATCAGTATTTATTTTTTTTTAAATATCATGACAGTGGTTGAATATCAGAACATGTTTCTGAAGAGAGGTTGTGTATATCTGTATCTCGTGTTGTCCAGGAATCAAATGGACATGGCCCTGAGTAACCCAATTTAATTAGAACTGTTTTGAGCAGGAAGGTGGACAGGAATAGTCCAGAAGTTCCTTTCAACCCAAGTTATGATTTTATGATCAAGGTTTTGATCAACTTCAACCATTTTGAAGCAGAACAGTCAACAGCAACCACAATTGCTTTTCAAACAGACACTTTCTATAGGAATTATCTTTATTGTGCTTGTCTGTAATTAATACTACAAGCATTTTTGGCCTATATAAGCATCTGATACATATTGTCACTGACAATGTAGTCTCCCTGTGTTTGTTAGTTTCACCTGGAGAAAGTACCAGTCAAAATTCCCTTTTGTGTGTGCATGTAAATTTTTATAAATCCACTGTATTGAGAACCAGCTACACAGAGGCAACTCAGTGAACTGCACATGCACTGCTTTTCTGAATTGTGACTCATGGCTGGGAATACTAGAGAAAATTTTATTGTTAATATGCTGGTGATAATTTTCATGAGTGGTACAGTCATGAATGTGTTATGACAGTTTAGTCATTGGTAAAGAAAAACAAATGCTGACACGGCAAAAAAAGGTGCTCTGACACACAAACAACCTCTGGGAGTCTTAAAGAACTTGTTCTGCAACATGTTGTGTCTCTGTAACTGCTTCTAGGCAGATTAGCAGTACTCTTTACAATTTTCACCTGACTTTATTTTCACCTTTCAATGTTTGTACCTACAATACTTTCAACAATCTACTGTCCATAACAACTAAGGAACTAGTAGCAATCCAAAGAAGTATCAGAGATCTTGGACTGATTTCTTGACTGATGAATATTGACATGTAAGTGTGTTGGGAGAATTTTATACCTCAGCACACCCCCATAAAACACCTCTGGCAATGCCCTGTTTCTATGCAACACGATGCTGAAAGACCTTGGCTCCACAAATTCCCACACCCCTGGTATCCACCTATCTCAAATCACAGAATCAATTAGGTAGGAAAAGATTTATGAAATTATTTACTCCAACCTATGACTGAACACCACCATGTCAACTAGATCCTTACTCACCTCCAGGGACAGTGACTCCACCACCTCCCTGGGCAGCACATTCCAGTGCCTAGTCACCCTTTCTGTGAAGAATTTTTCCTAGTGTCCAACCTGCACCTTCCATGGCACACTTTAAGGGTACTTCCTCTTGTCTGGCCATTTGTAGCCTTGGAAAAAAGACCAACCCCTGGCTACACCCTCCTTTCACATGCTTGTAGAGAGTGATAAGGTCTCCTGAGCCTCCTCTTCTCCAGGGTAAACAACCTCAGCTCCCTCAGCTGCTCCCTACAGGATACGTGCTCCAGACCTTCACCAGCTTCATTGCCCTTCTCTGGACCCACTCAAGCACCTCCAGTGAAATTAACATCTATGTGGAAAATGAAAGACTGCTAGAATTAACAGTTCCTTATCATATCATGCTTTTGTGTCCAACAGTGTATCTGTAGTGGACTCAATACTCAATCATAAGAATAACTTTAAAAATGAGGTCTAGCAACTTTAATATTTTGAAGTTTTACGCAGAATAAAGTCTTTATACTGGTTTCAAAAACCAAAACTGGTTTCAAAAAAAAGCTAAAATTTATCAGTATCTATCAGAATTTGGCAATCTTGTGTAGCCAGCTTGTTTGAGCTAGGAATGAAGAGAACAAGTTACATAGGTTTATGAAATTAGAGGGCTTTGAAGATAGAACATCAGTTCCGTTAGCACAGGGCCCTTGGGGAACATACACAGGCTCTCTTGAATCTCTTAGAACACAATGCACGGCATGCAGATTTATTTTTTTTTACTCTTACTTATGATTTTAAGCAGCTCAGCCAAGTCAAAGTAATTGTTGAAATCTATGGGTATTAAAAAACAGTGTTGGGTTTTTTTCTTCTCTCTGTCATACTACTTTTCCCTTCTGTGATCTTAGGTCAGGTTTATGCTGACAGTCAAATAAAATGCCACTAACCCACGGAGGGACACCTATCCTCCAGCAAACATCTTACATCTAATCTCAGAGCAGCTGAAGGACTGTTTCTCTAATTTTAGGCTTCTGTGTTGAAATACGCTTCACGCAGTTTACCATTCCGCGTTCCGGCATCGGTG